ATGCAGGTGAGATGAGTCAATCCAAAGATTTTCTTTTTTCAGAGAACCAGAAACTCTTCTAGAATTGTAATTTTTTTCTTCCTCTCTTCAGGACAAAATGCCTGAGGTACGGCAGAGTTCTTTTGCATTGTTAGGAGATCTGACAAAGGCGTGTTTTCAGCATGTTAAACCTTGCATCGGTATGTTTTTTTCAATATTAAACAACTTATCTTACAAATTCCTGAGATGTTAGTTTAGCCATTGTTAAGCTCCCTCCCTGTTCTGTTATCAACAATTGTCCGTAGTCTTTTGTCCTCTGAATTGTATGTTTAGAAGACATGGTCCTATTTTTTTAAACAGTGCAAAAGTTCTTTTTTTTGTTCCTTTATTTTTAGAGCTTTTTTTGTTCTACTAGACTATTATTAAGGAAAATTATATATAATAAATAAATTAAAAAGACTTGGCTAGAGGATAGGTTTTCCTTCGGTTCTTTGCATTGTTTTTCATTTCAGTAGAGAAGTAGCATCAGTTATACACTTCCATGATATTTGCTCTATCTTCCCACAGATATAGTTAAGATGCACTTGCCAAATGAATGCTTGAATAGGCTTAGAATTTAAAGTTTATCTGTCAGATGTTATAATTACCTGTGTGACTCATTTTTAAAAAAATTTAATCAAAGCTGTGATTGCCTTCAAGTCTTCACTGTTTTATCCAGAACGGCTGAATACACAGCTATCCAGGTGATTTGAGATTGTTCAACCATATCATAAAACCACAAATACTTGTAGCTGTGTTTTTTTTTCTTCTGTTCCCTTCTCTCCCTCCACCTAAGCAAGGGAAGGAGGGAAAGAAGATTCTAGAGTTACATAAAGATAAAGCCTATTAGAAAGATTTTAAAAGCATAATTTGAAAAGATTTGCATTGAACGGCTTAGGTTCTAAATTCCGGGTTAATATGATATACAGAAGAAATACAACTCTTGTTAATTCACAAGTAACACTTTCCAAGCATTTAAATAGGCTTACATTATCTTTTCCTTAAACCCCTTTTTTTTTCCCCCCATGATCTTACAGTAATGGGACAAGATGGTTGTATTGTGTGATGAGATTTTAAAATGTTGTTCTTTCTAGCTGATTTCATGCCAATTTTGGGAACCAACCTAAACCCTGAATTCATTTCTGTCTGTAACAATGCCACCTGGGCAATTGGAGAAATCTCTATCCAGATGGGTAAGATTTAATTTTTTCTTTAATCTGTGCGCATTCAGCATTTTGTGTGTCTGGGCGTTTTGGCTGGGTTGTTTTTTTTTTGTTTGTTTGTTTTTTTTTTTTTTTTTTTTTTTTTTTTTTTTTTTTTTTTTTTTTTTTTTTTTTTTTTTTCTTTTTTTTTTTTTTTTTTTTTTTTTTTTTTTTT